GTGTGTGCGTGTGTGCGTGTAGGGTCTACTGCCTTGAGACCAAAGAAGACCGTCAGGACAGATTGGAGTTTATAGACAAGCAGTTGGACCTGTTGACTATGGACAGTAAGGCCAAGATCAAGAGCATTACTGAGGAGGTGGAGAAACAGGTGAATCCCAACATTATATCATAACATACCAAGCTGCATACCTACCTACCTTCCTGAACCTTAGTGGTGTCAATTATTTCCTTATTATTTTCAAAGAAAAAGTATGGGCCGCCCGGTTGGCTCAGTCGAGGTAGAGCTGGGACGACCCATATACTGAGTTGCTGTAGCGGCCCAGAGGTTCGATCCAACCTGCCGGGCCCTTGCGCCGTGTCATCCTCTCTCTACCCCCATTTCCGTGTCTTATCTTCGGCTGTCCCTATCAATAAAGGCAATAAAGGCAATAAAAGGCCCAAAAAATTACTTAAAAAAAAAAAGTAAGTAAAAAGTTGTCCTGTCAAAAGAAATCTTTAGAAATTTCTTTAGAAATCAATGTGTATTGCTAAAGAAGTGTTAGCAGACGCTGATTGTACTGGAGGGAACTCTCAAACAGGAAATAGTTTTTCACCCCTGTTCTCTGCTGCTGTTCAGGTGTCTAACGCCATGGCAGAGGAGATCAGGAAGCTCCATGTGCTGGTGGATGACTTCCACATGGACTTCCACCCGTCACAAGTGGTGCTCAAGGTCTACAAGAACGTGAGTTTAACACACATATTCAATAGTATTAATGTGAGCTTCACAAGGGTTCAGGCATTCTGTCTGTCTACGCCTGCCACTTGCACATTCAGATGTGTTTGTTTTCACTAGTGTGTACACATATGTTATAGTTATGTTGCAAATACTGTACTTTTGGCAAGTGGGCATGTGGACGGGGGTTGCATATCAGTAGGCAACTGGCTAAAGGGTAACTGTAGAGTCTGCATAACATACATTTTGCCATGTTCCTTTAATAGGGTTGCAAAATTTAAATATTTAATAGCTTTCAAAATATTACAATTTTATAATCTGTTGGTTAAAATGTGAAAAACCTTTACCCTCATTATATGTAGAAAGCTGTTCAACACTTCCTGTTTCCAACTATCACAAGCTAACGTTACCTAGCAACCATAGCTAGCCATCTAAATGGTGAGTAACACAGACGCTTCCTTTGTGACATTAACAACCAAAATCTGGCTGTCTGCAGAGACAATGCGGCCGGTCTATTTGACGGAGGCTGGGTCAAACAGCAACATCAACATTATGTCACAACCAGGCATCAGGTCAGAAGTCAATCCATTAGAGGCAGGTCAGAGGAGATTTGACACAATGGACGATGAGAAGTTCATCTTGGAAAAACATAAAATTTTGTATGACACCACAGATCCTTTTATAAGGACAAAAAAGGACAAGGCCTAGAATTGAATTACAGGAGTTTTGGAAGTGGAAGATGGGGATTTCATTACCTATTAATGAACTAATGGACAAAGTACAAGTCAACAACATCGAGCAGAGCCAGTCGCCCTGCAGCCACTCCGCTTCTAGGATGCTCTTTGTAGGATTTGAAGATATTTATTTTAATTTAATTTAATTTCAGCTTTCCACTCTACATTGTCAGATTCAGCCCTCCTTTTTGATAGAAAAAAATGTTTTAAATAAATTGCCTTACACATTATGTAGTCATATTTTCAAATCTGGACCTATATAGAAAATGTAGGGCTCTACTTTAATGCTACCATCAATCTGCCACTGGCCCTCAAGGGGCTCTCATCACAAGATACTGCCACCGGGCCGAACAACCTTTCTGGGGGACACCCTGGTTTCAATCTGCTGTGGTGATATGCCCAATAGTATGGTGGGTCCCAGCCTGTGTTACATGAAGGTGTGAAAGTGTGGATGACAAGCTGTCCCTATTGTCAGCACACACACGTGCATATGAGCAATCCGCTGTCTGTCAGCTGTTGTGTTTGTGGTGATCAGTTGGTCTTTGTCCGCACTAGTTGTTGAGGTTCAGGGGCCTGTACACACACTCAAACCCAAATGCTCTCACACTAGCTCATTTACAAACACAGCTGAGGATACTGTACTATGTAGTTTAGGGGTCAGCAACCTTTGCTGTCAAAAGAGACCTTTGTGTCTTGAGCCACAGACATATTTGAGCCTTATAATGCTAATTTCTGGCTGCAGATCGAGCAATCCACTTAACCAGCAGCGTTTGTGGTGAAAGCAAACTTATCTGTCCGCACACTATTCATTTCTCTATTTCCCTTTGAGTCTTATTTTTTTGCATTTGAAGTCCCTAGCTAGGCTAGCAAGGGAGACTCAAGACTAATAGTTTGGGCTTCTGTTGTAGATAATCCTTTCTCCTCTGCCAGTTCCTTAGAACTGGTCTATTCCACACTGTCCATGTAGCTGTTGAGGGTCTCAAGATTGCCCCCAGATTTTTCTCTTTTGTGTTCTCACCACCTCCTGAGCCTGCTTGTTAGATCATAATTATAGCATCATATATATCAGTAAAACTAAATTAAGATAAAACAAGATCAAAGCATAATCCTCTGCACTGTGTGTGTCCTGGTGCTTTTTTAATTGACTGGTTTGTAACATTTTATTGTTTTTTATCTTTGTTTTTATTTTTTGGCTGTGTTGTTTAAATGTTGCTATGTGATGCACTTTCAGCTGCATGCTTGTATGAAAGTTTCTATAAACTGAGTTGAGTTATTGATCCTGAAACAATCTTGCCTCCAGCAGGATCGCTCAGAAATGTTTCCCACCCTACTACAGCTCTGTCAGTCTGCTATCTACATGCAAGACAGAGCAGAGCTCACCCCTGGCATCCTGTTGGCTCATGGAACCTTGTATATAGCTATAAAGCCATGTAATCTGTGTTATGTAAGAGCAGTCCAGACTGAGTCATGATGTACTCTTTCAACTCTATAATCTCATTTGATGGGAACAGGCCAAAAACATCCTGAGCCTTTCTATTAGCATCTGTGTTAGTACAGGCCAGCAAACATTTCTCCTTTAACTTTCAGCCTAAAAGCTGTAAATCTGAACCTGACCCAAGCATCAAATCTACATGGCTAGTAGTTAAGAAAGTTAGGATACAGAGCACCTAGATCCCTAGCTGGCCGCTTCACTTGACTCTTGGGCTGACAGCGCTGTCAGCAGCCTGGCAGGAGAGATGCTCTGTGGTGTGCTGACATTTTTCTAGCTGAACTATGAGCAGGACACTGTGTCGAAATCTGATGTTTTCACATCACACATTATAAGAAAGACATTATGAAAAAGACACATGAGGCAGGCTAGGAACTGATGATGTTAATTTACCCTTGACCCCCTCATTACTGTGCTATGGCTGTCAGGTTTGGGTGATGGTTGACATCAGTGAAACAGAAATATAGATTTAATTTGGTCCGTGGTGGACTTCCTGTGTTAATCGTTCAAACACAGTAGCAGTGTGGCTGTCTGTTTCACGGTTTCTTTGTTGTGATTGTTTTATTTTGTTTGTTTTCTTCTAGGAGCTCCACCGGCACATAGAGGAGGGTCTGGGTAAGAACATGTCAGAGAGATGCTCCACCTCCATCACCAGTGCCCTGCAGGCTACACAGACCGACATGATCGGTAACACTCCAGTTTACACCTCACAGCTGACCGCAAATATGTATTGTCTGCTTTAATGTACTACAAGTATAATGCCACTGTTGCACACTGTTTACTATGTACTGTCCTTGGAAACGTGTATGCAGGCACACGGTGTGTCACTGACATCTGTGGTAAATTCTGACTGAATATACTGTTTTGATCCACACAAACACTGTTTGTGTGTAGATGGTCTAAAGCCTCTGCTGCCCAGCCCGGTCAGAGAGCAGGTAGACAAGTTGGTTCCTCGTCAGTGCTTCAGCCTCAGCTATGACCTGGCCTGTGACAAGTTGTGCAGTGACTTTCAGGAGGACATCAGCTTCCACTTCTCTCTGGGCTGGACCATGCTGGTCAACCGCTTCCTGGGGCCCAAGAACACCCGGCGGGCCCTCATGGGCTACAATGAACAGGTAATCATTAAAGGGTCTGGATAAAGAAAGTATTTGGCAGTGCCAAAATGGACTCAAAATACAGTGGGCCTTATGTAAGAATATTTTGGTATAATTCTTTTAAACCTCATACTATTTTTTTTTTTTTCGTGAAGTTTGCTCATACCAATACAAATTAGGGATGGGGCCGATCCGATCCAGTATCGGGACCGATACCAGCGTAATTCAACCTGCAGAGATTTCCGATCCATGAGCCATGTCTGCGCTTTAACGTTGTCTGCTGAAATGACTCCACAAGTGATTCCTGCCGGCTAGTCTGCTAGCTGGCTGCAAACTGTGGAATG